ATGACCATATTTCGCCACATGAGGCAGTCTCTCGAACAGTAGTTAACGGCAGTTAAGTTGGCCGTGAGAGTAACGGCTAAATTGCTTCGATGGTAGAGTTTAAGAGCTTATATGAATTAATTAAAGTATGAGGGCTTAATAGTGATCCTGGCGTTTGTTCAGGGGCTTAGCTTATGGTTTTTCTTTTTTTTTTTCATGTTTGTCTCGGAATAATAAAATTTTTATATTTTATTAGTATGTTTATATTAAAGATTTAAAAATAATTTATATTTTATTTATTTTATATTTAAAATAAAAAAAATTTATGATAAGTTGAATAATTAAAATTAAAAATAATAATAATATTTTGAAAATATATTTATTATTTTAAAAATAAAAAAAATATTACTAAAATAAATTTTAAATCAAAGAATATCTAATATTATTTTAAAATGAAATGAGTAATATAAAAATAGTTTTTTCTTTGAACGGGGCGATTTTCAAGGAAAGGTGGACTAAGAGTTGGAAATACGGCTTAACTTATCAGACGACACTGGTTGAGCCGTACTTTTCAATAAGGAAGCGGTGGTGCTCATATGAGGATTGAATTTTTAATTTTTAATAATTAATTAACTTAATTTATTAATTATTGTCTTTGTCAACAAAAAAAAAAAAAATCAACACCCTTTAAGGGAGTAGTCACAGAACCATTAAAGATTGGACATAAAAATAGTTTGTTTATTGTTAAACTTAATTGATTTCTTAATTATTTAATCTAATTTGGACTTTGGAGTTAGTTTCACTATAGTCATCTTCATTTCATTTTCACTCGGCTAGGTGGCCAGGGTTTTGCAGAAACGAAAAGTGAGAAAGCAAAGGCAGCGAGATGAATAGGGTGAATCATGCCTAATTAAATTAATTTTAATATAAAAATAAAAATACTTTTATCATACTTGTTTTGATATTTTATTTTTTTTTTGTTTAATTTGATAAAAAAATAATTTAATCTAATTTTCAACATTTTGTGCAAAGGTTATTATAGACCTTTTAAAATTATTTCGATGAACTTATCATAACTTTTATATTTTTATTTATGTGAGATCTAATTCTTAAATGGGGTTTCA